TGAAGGCTCCCGATACTAGAAATATCAGACATAAAGCTTTAAAATAACTAAGATTATTATGCTAAAGTAGATAAAAGACTAAATTAAAAATCTGGCGAAGAACTGAAAGCATAAAAAATGATATAGCTGATTTTTTTTTTTTTTTTTTGAGACGGAGTCTCACACTGTCGCCTGGGCTGGTGTGCAATGGCGTGATCTCACTGCAACCTCCACCTCCTGGGTTCAAGTGATTCTCCTGCCTCAGCCTCCCGAGTAGCTAGGATTACAGGTGCCCGCCACCATGCCTGGCTAATTTTTTGTATTTTTAGTAGAGATGGGGTTTTACTATGTTGGCCAGGCTGGTCTCAAACTCCTGACCTCATGATCTGATCCACCTTGGCCTCCCAAAGTGCTGGAATTATAGGCGTGAACCACTACGCCTGGCCTTTTTTTTTTTTTTTTTTTTTTTTTTGAGATGGAGTTTCACTCTTGTCGCCCAGGCTGGAGTGCAATGGCACGATCTTGGCTCTGCCTCCTGGGTTCAAGCAATTCTCCTGCCTCAGCCTCCTGAGTAGCTGGGATTACAGGTGCATGTCACCAAGCCCAGCTAATTTTTGTTTTTTAGTAGAGTCAGGGTTTCACCATGTTGGCTGCGTTGGTCTCAAACTCCTGACCTCAGGTGATCCACCCACCTCAGCCTCCCAAAGTGCTGGGATTATAGGCATGAGCCACCACGCCTGGCCTGATACAGCCGATTTTACTTTTTTTTAACTTTTCCTTTTCCTGAGACGGAGTCTTGCTCTGTCTCCCAGGATGGAGTGCAGTAGCGCAATCTTGGCTCACTGCAGTCTCCTCCTCTCGGGTTCAAGCTATTCTCCTGCCTCTGCCTCCCCAATAGCTGGGATTACAGTCATGTGCCACCACACCCAGCTAATTTTTATATTTTTAGTAGGGACAGGACTTCAGCATGTTGGCCAGGCAGGTCTTGAACTCCTGACCTCAGGTGATCTATCTTGGTCTCCCAAAGTGCTGGGATTACAGGCATGAGCCACTGCGCCCAGCGATACAGCTGATTTTAAAAAGAGAGGATATTACATCTCTCAGACGATAGGAAAAATGAAAGGGAAGAAATAATCAAATAGGAAAAACGAAGAAAATCACTGGTCTCTATCTCTATTTCCACAGAATGAATGAGCTTTTTGAATCTTCAAAACACCAAGATAGAATCCCAAAGTACTTACAAAGCAATGGAAATTAGATTTACAATAGATTTTTTAGCAATAAAACTGGATGCAAAGTCTATGGAACAATGCCTTCAGGGACCTAAGGGGATTTGACTTTGAACCTAGGATTCAAAGTACGTAGTCAATTAAGGTACACCACAGTCAAATTTAAAAATGGAATAAAAAATTAGGCCTCTGTACACACCAAGGCCTGTGAGGGTTGACCCTCCAGCCTTTTTGATGTCAGCTCCTTTCGCCCTTCCATTACCATCCCGTTGGGCTGTTCCTTTTAAATTCTAAACTCTTCCACCTCAGGCCTTTGCACTTTCCTTCTGCCTGGATGTTCTCCCAAATATATGCATGGCTTCATCCCTCACCTTTTCTGGTCTCTGCTTAACTGTTAGTTTGGCCTTTTCTTTTTTTTTTTTTTTGAGACGGAGTCTCGCTCTGTCGCCCAGGCTGGAGTGCAGTGGTGTGATCTTGGCTCGCTGCAAGCTTAGTTTGGCCTTTCTTAATTGCCCAACATGAAACAGCATCCTGCCAGTATTCTGTATCTCCCTGCCCTTTTAACTTTTTTTCCATGGCATCCATCACTACTCAAGACACTACAGATACCTGTTCTCATTTGCTTAGTCTGTCTCTCTCCATAAGAAAGCAGATCCACGAATGCAGGGACTCAGTCTGCCTTATTCACTGCTGCCTGCCCCATGCCTATACCACGCCTGGCCAGGGGAGGTGCCCCATCAGTGATTGTCAATGACTGAATGAAACTGTGAGCTAACTCTTAGATCCATACCTTCTCCCGTCCCCCACCAATCTGTTCCTTTCCTGATTTAATCAATGGTTCCGGCATCCATTTTTTGCAGCTACACCTGGAGGTGCCACATGTTCATTACGCTCTTTCCTTCCACATTCAACCACCCATCAAATCTTATTGGTTCTGCCTCCAAAATACATCTTGAACCTGTCTCCTTTCCCCTCTCCATGGCCACCACACTGATCCAAGTCACCTTCATCTCTTCCTGGGACTGTTACAGAAGATACTCCCTGATTGTTTTTCTATTTTAATTCATGACACCTCTGCGCCAACTCTGCCAAGAAGAAAACGCTAGCTCCTCGAAAGGTCTCTGTGGTCCACCTCCTGCCTCATCTCATACCACCCTCTCCTTTTGCCTTCTATGTGCCAGCCACAGTGGCTTCAAACAAATCAAACACTCTTTACTTTTACTCTCACTTCTACTAGGAAACACTTTCTCCAGGTCTCTATATGGCCGTCTCACTCTTCTCCTTGGGTTTCATCTGCAGTGTCCTCTCGCGAGGCCTTCTCTGGTCACTCCTTCCCAGGCACTCTCATCTGAAGACCCTGCTTATTTCCTTCTTAGTCTGAATCTAGTCTGAAAATATTTTGTTGACCTAACTGCCTCCCTGCTTATGTGTGCATCCCTACCAGACTGAGCTCCATGAAGGCAGGGAAGTACCTTCCGTCTTTTGTCTTTACAACCAAGCCCAGAGCCCGTGCAGGCAGCCTCCCTCAGCATACGCATGTGGAGGAGCACTCTGTGGCTCCTGATGTCCAGGGCCCACCTCCTGCCAGGTTCTGGAGGGCAGGCATGTCACTCTCTCACTGATGCTGGGACCTGAGGCTGGGTGCTGGAGAAGTCTAACGGGACACAATTCAAAGCCCTTTGGCTTATTTAAAAAATCTCCACCTTCATGTTTCAAGAAAGAATTCTTGCAGCAACAATGAAAGAAGCACCTACCACTACTGTTGACTCCCACTGGCTTCCAGTGGAGTAGTGAACCGGACCCAGTAAGTCCTTGCATATTTCTCGAAGTCGGTATTCAAACCCTAATTATAGAAAAACAAACAAACAAACAAAAAAACAAAACAGAAATAGGAACACATTACAAAAAGAAATAAAAATCAAGAATATGCTATGTTGTTGTGTCTATCAAATCAGAATAAACACATGCGTATTTTATTGCCTACTACGGGCAAGATACCCCTGCATGTCTCTCAGTGTGGGGCACTGAGACCCTTCACAGATTTTCACTCATTTGCTCACTCCCCTGACGACATCTGTAGTACCTTCTCTGTGTGTTGCGCCCAGAGGAAAAACGAGATGTGGCCAATTCTGTGATAAACTCCTTAAGGTGATGGGAAAATATGGGAAATTGTGGGCTGGTAAGATCTGTCTTTGAGAATATGGGCTGGCAACTGGTGTTAAGAGGAGGTCAGGAAGGTGGGGAGGCCAGCTCGCAGGAGGTAAGAGATGGCAAAGGTATGACTGAGGAGGGGCAACTGAGTGGAGGGGGCATAGGCCCATTAACTCAAGGGTTATGGGCATCACCCAGTAGGGTTGCTAGAAAGGCTGGAGGTAGAGTGTCGGGGTTTGTCAGCACTTGGGGCAGCTAAAGCAATAGCGAATGGATTAAATTGTCCAAAGAAAAGGGTGGAGTAAGAGAGGCGAAACTGGAATCTGAGGAATTTTGGAAGTGAATGGGGTCCACTTTTACACTAGATTCCTCCTTTTACAGCCAAGGAAACAAGGGACAGAATGGAAGATGGGTAACTGGTGTATGGACACTGGAACAGGCATGTGGAGGATGGAGAAAGAGAAGCAAGCAGCAGAAGTGATCCCAAGATGGGTGGCAGGGCCGACAGGAGGTAGGGACTTGATGTAGGGCATCAGAGCAAGTCCCAATCAACACCTAGGATGAAGCAAACCAGAGTGGAGTAAGAGGAGGGGCTCCCAGGGAAGATGTGACTAGAGCACCACAGGAGAGGTATGAGGGCCTGGGAAGGCTGAGTATTCAGAAAAGCTGGGGACCACACATAATGGCAACCACATAGACCTGGTGGGAAGAGTAAACATCAAATTCATCATTGTGGTCTGCAGGGAGGGAGGGGAGGCTTCAAGCTGATCAGTAATATTTGCTGTCATTTACAAGTGTATGTACACCCACACATACACACTCATATTTACACAGCCAGAGGCACATATGACATATTAGTTCTGGGAATTACATTCGTGAAGGTCTGATTATGATTTTCTCTGTCTTTTCTGTACTTGATTTTTTTTCTAAATTATAATCAAAATGGGGAGGGTGATGACAAAAATAAAGCAAAAAGGCCAGGAAGCAGCACAGTAAGAGCTCTGGGAGGGCCTGCCCATGCCGCACCCTGAAGGCTGTACTCAAGTGGGAGGAAAAGCTGGTAAGGCTGTTGGAGTCACTGTAAGGACAGTGCAGCCACCTCTTCCAGCATACCTGGCTTTCTGCAGGGGAGGCAGCAGAGTGAGAGCTCTGGCAGGAAGCACCAGGAATGGAGGGCCTCAGTAAGTGCAGGACATCAGGCAAGCCTGTCCAGGGCAGGAGGGGCTGGGAGGAGGAAGAGAACCACTGCTACAAGATGCCCTCACTGATGAGCAGCACTGCCAAGGTGTGGTGCAGGGCAGGAGCCAGAACACAGAATCTACTCCTTTAGGCCATGTCTTTCCACCCAGGCATCTATTCCACCCTCCTGTGGCCTGTCCTGCTGCTCCTCTGTGGGAACACCCTCAGGGTCACTCTATTCAGAGCCTCAGAGCCTATTAAGGGGCTGGGTACCTGCTGAGCTGCCTTAATTGCAGCTCAGGCTGGGAGGTAGAGGCTGCTGGGCCCACCTTGTTGATGGGAGAGCAGCAGGCTGGGATCTGGGCCATCACACCTTTTCCCTGATTTCACAGGGACTAAGCCAGGCCTGGGAGGATGGAGGGGCAGAAGGAGAAAGCTGCTTAGGGCTGCCAAGAGCCTCACCTTCGTTTACGAGGTACCGTGCGTAGAGGAGGAGCCAATGGCGGTACTCGTGGCTGGACTGCAGGGTGAGTGCTGCTGCCACCTGGTTCTCTAGGTAGGCCAGGGTGGTCTCTTGCTGCACCACATGAGGCACGGAGAAGAGCCGGGCAGCCTGCCTTCCCGAGCTGCAGAGACCAGGAGAGTTTCCATGATGAGGCAGCAGGCACTACAGAGTCAGGAACTGCCCCCATGTGCAACAGGCAAGGAGCTGGCAGGAGGCAGGCACCAGGGCTGCCAAGGCCTCCCGTCCACTAGCTAGTCTGTTGGCAGATGCCAGATCTGTTGTCTGCCCATCCCCACATCCCAGCCATGTGCCTCCTGGCACCCTTGGGGTATCTCACCCAGCACCTGCCATCTGGGCCCCTGAAGTGACAGGGCCAGTGACTGCTGCCCCCAACCCCAAGATATTACCTGATGCAGGACCACTACCCTCAGAACCCCTAGTCTGTCCTGCCCAGCCTGCCTGTGCTGACCAGCACCTGGGGCACAGGGGAAGGGCAGGTGGATACAAGGCCTGGGTAGGGACTATGTGTGCACTGACCCAGTCACTTCCCCAGGGCAGGACTAAGGACAGAGGCCATGGCACTGGGGTCACGTACTTGGAGGTGCGGCCCTGGATTATGGCTAATGGTCCTGAGCACAGCATGGCGTCCTGGGATGGCAGGCTGCTCCTAAAGTCTGCACACTGAGCCAGTGAGTCCTGCTTGTCAGAAACCAGGTTCCTGGGGAGGCAAAGGCAGGAGCAGAGCTCAGGAAAACCAAGAGATCTACCAGAGGAGGCTGGCAAGGAGGCCACAGAGAAGCAGCCCCTATCGACACAAAGCCAGCAGAGGCTGAGCGCCCCTGCACTTCCGCACAGGCACCTATCACTGACAGGTTTCATGGTAATGGGTCTGATGGATCATTGTTCCCGAGGAAAAATGAATGAGGTGAAGGCTGTGGATAGGGCCCTTGCTGGGAACACTTCAGCTCCATATGTTGGTTCCTGATGACTGCAGGCCTCTGAGTGCAGTGTGCTCTGATGCTCGGCTCAAATACTGCCATGGTCTGCCCAGGGGCCCACATGGCCTGGGTCCTGTAGCTGGGGAGTAATGCCAGGCCTCTACCTGCCTTTATTTCTACAACTATCCCAGATTGGCAGTCCTTCCACCTACTCTGGACCCTTTTCATCCTTGTGAAGAAAAGACTCTTCACACACTTTTAGAACAGCTGGATGTCTTTGTAAATGTGTCCAAAATACAAAGATGCCTATAGAGAGTCAATATTTCTCTTCTTAAATAATCAGCTTATTTCCATTATTACAGCAATCACATATAATAGACAACATTTTGCAATTTGGGGGAGCAGGCAGTGGAGGTTTTTTTTTCCTTTGAGACAGGGTCTCACTCTGTTGTCCAGGCTGGAGTGCAGTAGTGTGATTATGGCTCACTGCAGCCTTGACCTCCTGGGCTCAAGGGATCTTGTGCTTCAGCTTCCCAAGCAGCTGGGACTACAGATGTCTGCCACTGCACCAGGCTTATTTAATTTTTTTTTTTTTTGGTAGAGACAGGGTCTTACTATGTTGCCCAAGCTGGTCTCAAACTCCTGGGGTCAAGCAATCCTCTCAGCCTCCCACAGTGCTGGGATTACAGGTGTGAGCCATCGCACCCAGCATTTTTTTTTTTCCCAAATTCAAGAAAGAAGTCTCAGTGTGAATGTAGACTTCTGCATGGCAGTTCTTAACAGAAAACGGGCTAAGAGGTAGCAAGCTTTGGTTCTTAAGGACCAAAGGTATAGACAGAAGAAAAAAACTTGGAGTGGCTGGAACACAACGTACATATTTCATGTGTCTGGGTTAAGAGCTCTGTGTATAAATTATTTTGCAAGTACAGAAAAGGGCTCCAAATTCCTGAGTGGACAGAGGAAAAGTACAGACCATTATGCTTAGGTAAGTGGATGAGCATCCTTACTAATTCACTGAGGAAGTCTGAAGTACTTACTAAGCTCACAGAAATTGACTAGTCCTGGTAAGGCTCCTGTAAAGTCAACTCACCTATGCTCATGGTGGCTAAGGGGGCCACAGCAAAAACCATAACAATTTTGGGGCTTTTTCAAAAAGTGGCTCCTGAAAATAATGCAGGAGGACAGTGCTCCTGCACATAGGCTCTGAGGGTAGAGGCCACAGGCTGCAGTGTCCTGCTGGGACAGGGAAGCATGCACAGATAGTCAAAGCAGCCTTCACTCCAGGGCCTGACTCTCAGGAAAAGCAGGGCTAGGCAGCCCTGTAGGCCACAACCCTTTGCTCTGCTGTCTAGAGCAGACAAGACACTCATCCAGGGAACAGTGCTGGGGGTCAGCTTGCTTACCATGTAGAAAGTGACGGATTAAAGCAGTACGCCTTCCCATCAGACAGGTTCATTACTGGGATTCCATGCTGCGTCAGCAAGATCTGTGATACCGTCATATCACTTCCTGGGGACAGCACGGGAATGAGTTCTGGGTGTGTTCTGATCAGCAAGTGTTTGCAAACACATCAAAGGAGAAATCTAAACTCTAGGCTCCCACAGTCCCAGCAGCAAATGCATCAACACTGCCTTGGCAAATAGGGAGGGCAAGCTATTCTCCTTGCCACACACCAGGCTCTTGTCACCTCTTGGGGACCCATTCAAACATGTCCCCAAAAAGTGTGTGTCTCCTGCAGCGTAACCGCACCTCCTGCCTCACTGAGAGCTCTGTGCTGAGGCCAGAGCCTGGCTCTCTGAGCGGGGCCCTTCTGCAGCATCAGACATGAACTTGGGCCCCCAGGGGAGTAGGGGCAGCCTGTTGCCTGCATTACCTGCCAGAATGGAGTGTAGAGACTCTTCTTTCACCACAACCACCTGTCTGTGAACATCCCTAGGAGGGAGACAGGGAACAGTTTACTCACCAACCAAGTAAACACATCAGAGTGTGCCTCAGCCGCTCAGACACCCTGGTCCCTACTGCATGCGCCCCTAACCCTGGCTGCTCCTAGTGAGAGGGACTCTGGGCTATGAGTGGCTTCTGCTCTCCATGTGCCACTACACTCCCTCTGCATAAGGATGCAGCACACAGCCCAGGCAACAGAGCCACAGGGAACCCTCAGCGCCCATACCGCTTTGGGGGAAGCTGGGCCACAGCAGCCACATCAGGAACATGGCCACACTCTGCCAGCTAAGACTCCATTTATGATGAACCCCACATAGAACTCTGGTAATGCAACTGGTTGCACGAGCTGCTCCAGTAAGGAGATAATCGAGCAGGCAAGCTGCCTCCATCCCCATTGCGCAACATCCCTCAGCCCTCAGCCTACCCAGGGCACCCAACACAAGCAATATCACTAACTGCTCAGGGCCTCCTCTGGGGCCTGATGGCCAGCCTTGTCCACTGCCTTCCCTGCCCCTGCAGTGAGGTGGGGCCTGCACAGCCCTGTCCTGCCCTAGCTGGAGCCCACCCCACCCTGCGCCTGCCTCTCACCAGACAGACAGTGTGGCCGCAGCAGTAAGCGCCATGACGTAGGAGCCTGTGCAATGCAAAGTAGAGATCGGGGACGGCAGGAGGATGGGAGAGAGGAGACGGCGACCACAGGTGGAGAACACTGACAGCATCCTTTTTTCACAGGCGACACACACCACGTCACTGAGAAGACAGAGTGGGGGCAGGTGTCATGGGGGCTGGGTGCTGCAGCCAAGACAGTAGCCCTGGATGTGTGGGCCTTTCCTCTGCCTGGGGCCAACAAGAGCCTCCCCTGAGCAGGTACAGTCAGAGGGTAAGGTGGATTGGGTTAGGGTGGGGCTGGTGGAGCCTCCCTGAGATCTTGGATGAAAGAGGTTTCTGTCCTCTTTTCACAGGCTGCCCGTGCTTTCCTAAGCTCACGCTGATGCTGACCAAAGGGTGTGGGGGCTTTGGAGAGCAATGCCTCTGATGATCACCCAGGAAACATGCCTTGCTTATCGGATAAGGCCACATAGTACCCGCAGGACAGTCTCCTGGCTGCAACTAGTCAGACCAGTCCAGAGAAGGTCTCTAACAAGGCAGGCTAAGAGAAGTGCAGGGATGACAGCATGCACCCCTGTGTCCAAGAGGCTGTCTGGCTGGCGTGGGAGATGCATGTCGCTCTCAAACAAGGAGTGCCTTACAGAACAGTCTGGACACTGTCCAGCTTCTCCTCTGAGTGACCACCAGGCCCCTGGAAGGGCCCTGCACAAGCAGGCTGCTGCCTTCCCAGAGAGAGCCCCCTAAGGCCCAGCCACAGGCCCAGGGTGAGGCTGGAGCTTAGACCTCAGTCAGCAGTAGCAGATGTGCAACCAGTATAGTGAGATCCTGGCCACAGTAGCCACCCAGAGCCCCACTTTGTGTCAATTCTATCCTGCTAAGCCAGTTACCCCAGCAGGCTCAAGGAGGTCAGTTAAGAAAGGAGCTCTGCCAACTGCTTTCCTAATGAGACACTGTTGCTACTGGCTCCAAAAAGGGAGAGGCAAGTGAGATGCTTTTGTTTACAAATGTTTACTTGGAGAGTATGAATCAGAGAACACTCTAAGCAGCACGGGCAGCAGGAAGCTCTCCGAAGTGCTGTGACTGAATTCTTATTTATTCTGAGACAGAGTCTCAGTCTGTCACCCAGGCTAGGAGTGTAGTGGGCGTGATCTCGGCTCACTACAACCTCCACCTTCCCACTTCAAGCGATTCTCCTACCTCAGCCTCCCGAGTAGCTGGGATTACAGGCACACGCTACCACGCCTGGCTAATTTTTGTATTTTTGGTAGAGATGGGGTTTCACTACACTGGCCAGGCTGGTACTGTGACTGAATTCTATCTGCCCATCTCTGGTGGTCAGAGCCTGCCTCAAGTCAGTCCACTGCAAAGAAAGCCATCATTTCTGGGCTGTAACAATGGGGAGTAGGTCTGCAGGCTGGGCCTGAACTGGGCAGGACTGAGCAGAAGGGGAGGTCCCAGGTGGTCCAGCAGGCTTGCCCCACAGCTGCTATGTCACTGTGGGAGAGGCTGTGCTGACACCCCTTAGCCCTCAGCTGGGGAAGCCACCTGCCTTGGGGGAAGGGGCAGAGAGTGGGAGCCTGTGGCAGTATCTGACACACAGGTGCCTGGGACCGGGAGTTTAGCTGGCTCATCCAGAGGGGGAATTCGAGGGAGGAACAGAACAAACAGTGGGGTCCCCTAGGCCTAACAACACCAACTCACTCAGGGACCACAAGAATTGTGGTCTAAGACCTAAGGCCACATGCTTTGACACAAGTAAAAGCATTTACATGGGACCTCATGGCAGATGATTAAGGGTGTAATTACGATGACTGTATCTAAGTGGTCATGTCTATAAACCTCTGCTGAGTGTCTCCCACGTGGTCCTGACTGGGACGCTATATCAGGCAGGAAACTGAGGAGAAACACTGGTTCCCCTTCCATATTGAACACAGGCAGGGACAGGGCTCACGTACAGTGCCAGGAACCTAGTTCGGGAAGATACTGGGTGACTAATCACTGAATCAAGGTGCCCCTCACAGTGCAGAATCTGGAATGGGCTGGGATGGGGACTTCAGGGACAGTCAGAAATTCATCCTGACCAACTTGGATGGAAATCTGGGATCCAAAAAAGGAACCAGCTCAGGTCAAAGTGAGCCAGGCACACCTTAGCGTGGAACTCGAGACTTTGGGGATATGGCTGGACGAGGGAATCAGGCCATCAGGTTCAAAGCCTGGCCTGGGTAATCCTCAGGGGCTCAGTTTCCCCATCTATAACACAGGCATACTGACGCTGACCTTGCTGGGTGCTGCAGGGACTGAGATGGCGAGCGCATATGCCTGGCCTGGAGTGAAGCCTGGTGTGAGCCTCTGTGGGAGCTGGCGCTCCCAGGGTCATGCACGTCCCCTAGACAGACCCAGGCCCAGAATGATGGCATGTGTGCCTGTGTCACCTGGGCCGGCTAAGGACCTGCCCGCCCTTACCAGCTGCCCGCAGCAGTGAGGATCCGGCTGGTGAGTACCGTCTCCCACTCCTTCCCTTCCCGGTTGCACTTCAGGCGGCTCAGCTTCACGCCCCCCACCACTGTCACTTCATTCTCCACCTCAATGTACATGGAGGGATCGGAGCTGACCTGGATGAAGTAAACACACGGGCCTGCTCAGACAAGGGCCGCAGCCCAGGTAACATGCTCCAAGGCTCTGTAGCCTGGGGCCCCAGGGCAGCAGCAGGATATAGAGGCAGACTGGCTGGCCAACAGAGGAGGTGGAGGACAGGCGGGGCAAAGGGGCTGAGCGGGAGGCCCAGAGGGCCACACATGTGGCCCCCAGGGCAGTGAGAATGCTGGGAGCTGGTTTCTACCCTGTCATCTGTGTAGTTGAACAGCCAGAGAAGAGAAGCAGTGCCAGGGTTAAAGACCCCAAAGTCACCCAACCCTGCCACTTCATCTCACAAGGGAGTAACGTGCCCAAAAGCACACTGCAAAGGACTGAGCTGGGACTGAGACTTGGGTTTCTAGCCTCCTACTTGAAGAATCTTCAAAGATGGCAGTGTTTGGCAAGATTAGAGACCATGTCAGTGCATGGAGGGAATGTCTAGAAAACCCCCAAAGGGGCTCTCCAGTTCCTGTGGTGGTGAGACTTGGTCTGCTCAAATGAGACTAAACTGGCAGGGGTGTTTATGGCACAGCATGTATGAGAAGCACCTAGTTCAGTGTCTGGCACCAAATGGGCTCAGCCGCATGCGTGTGTGGAGAGCTGAACAACAGATTTTCCCTACGGAAAAATAGGCAGAACCACCAGTCTGTGCTTGTGCGGCCACTCAAGTGGGTGAGCTGGGCCGAGGGACGACTGCCCCCTTCACAGACCCAGAAACGACAGTCCCAAGCAGTGCTTGGAGGGGAAGATGCCTAGGGGAAGGGCTGGAGGAGTTTGGGAGAGTTCTGTGCTGAGAAGCAGGGCACCCAGGAGGGAACCTGCATCAGAACACCTGTAAGTGCAAGAGCACATCTGAGCGCTGCTGACCATGGGAGGGCCCCTGCCTCCATTCACACCAGCAATAAGAACAAACCCTGTGGGTCCCTACCTTTTGGCTTCCCCGCTTCATTCCTCTGCACTGTGGCCCAGAAGGACCTATGGTAGGAAGGGCTGATGCCTGCTCTCTGGTGCCCTGTGAGGACCAGCCTGGGCTCAGAGCAGTGTGCAGCCAGTGGAAAGTGACCCGCACACAGGGTCCCAGAAGGCTGCTCGAGGATAGGCACCTGAGCTGAGGTACAAGGGTATGCAGACAGGCAGCAGTGTGTGTGACGGCACCACGGCAGGAGAGGCCTAGATACTGTGCTGGGCCAAGTGACCAGGAGGGCTCTGGGTATAAAGGATTATTTACTCCAGAATTGTGTTTTGGATAACCACATGCTTACAAGCTTCCATTCCAAGAGCTCAAACAACTCTGATGATGACTGTGCCGGACACTGAGAAGACAAAGCTAGCAGGATGGTTGGGAGATAGACCACGACTACACAGTCCCACAGACACCAAGCCTGAGGCTGCCCAAGGCTGTGTGTGGAAATGGAGGTGGCTTCCAGTCAGGAGAGGATTCCTGAAGAGCATCAGAACATGTGGTGGTAACGGCAGCCCCAGCAGCTGGGACCCCAAGGGCAAAGCTAGACGGAGGCCATGGGTGGGTAAGAGTGGAGGCTGGCAATTTTGCTAAGAGTTGGTACGTACCCTGACCTGCTGTGACTTCCCCTAGAAGGTGATGGAGAGCCACTGGAAACCAATCTCCAAGGAAGTGACAAGATCGGGTTTGTATGTGGTAGGGGACAGAGAATCTCTGGGTGTGCCTGACGGAGAACTGGCAGGGTCCCAGAACTTACCTGGAGGGTGAATGCTCTCTGGGGGCCTGGAATTGGCAGCTTCAGTGCAAGTGCTGGTGCAGAGAGACACATGGCCTCCTTCTCTGCGGTTAGGGCAGCTGGAGACTGGAAGAGCCAGAAACATTCCTGAGCCTTGCTCTAACACTACAGGATAGCATTTGGTAAAGGCAAGTCACCCAGAAGTGAGGCTGGGCCTACGACCAGGGCATTTCCACCCTGGGAGGGAGGAAGCAGAGGGGAATGCTATAAGAATCCTCACCTTATAGACAAGCCAGTTGATGCCAGGGAACCTGCTCAAGGGCCCTGGGTGAGTCAAGGGCAGGTCTGAGGGAGAGTGTGGCCTCCATGCTACATTCCAGGGGCTGCATGTCTAAGCTAGCTGGTTCCCAAGGTGCCCCACCCAGCTGAGGCTTACCATGCACACAAGGCCTTCAAGCTCTAAGTGCAGAAAGGTAGGCTAAAGAAAGCAGAATGGACCCACTGGCCTCACCTGGACAGACAGAGACACAGGCATGAGACGAGAGTCCTTCCGAGGCCGCCCTTTCTTCTTCTTCTCTACTGTCTCTACCTCAAGCTCAAGTTTTCGCTTGGACAGTGAGGAAGGCTTAGCCAAAGGGACTTTCTCATCGCTGTCACTGCTGCTCTCCAGGAGGTCTCGGGGCCTCAGCTCTTTCACAAGGTTCTGCTCTTTTAACCTGCACAAAAACATTACATCACACTTCCCTTCAGAAACCATTCATGCAAGAAAGAGTGAAGTGAAATATTTAAAGTGCTTCAACAAACCTCTTGCCAACCTAGAATTCTGTGTCCAGTGAAATTATGCCTCAAAAATAAAGGAGAAATAATGACTTTGTCAGACAAAAATAAACAAAGGGACACCGGAATCTGTTGCCAGAAGACCTGCCTTGCAAGAAATGTTAAAAGTCTTTCAGAGAGAAGATAAATGATGCAGGCCAGAAACTCACATCTGCATGAAGAAAGGAAGAGTGTTAGAGAAAAAAAAAACGAACATGAAATAGAATTTTCTATTTCCTATTCCCAATTGATCTAAGAGACAACTTTCTGTTCAAAGAAATAACAGCCACCATGTCTTGAATGACTATAGTTTATGAATGAGTGAAATAAGTGGTACCAATGTCATAGGGCAAGGAAGGAAAGAAAGGGGAACTTTTTCTACTACCCATGAAGTGGTATAATATTATTTGAAAGTAGAATTAGGTTATAAATGTCTATGGTAAACTCTAGAGCAATCACTAAAAAATTATTTTAAAGCATAATTAATAATGCTGAGAGAAGAGAAACTTTATTTTTATTTTATTATTATTTTTTTGGAGATGGATTTTCACTCTTGTCGCCCCGGATGGAATGCAATGGCGTGATCTTGGCTCACTGCAACATCCGCCTACCAGGATCAAGTAATTCTCCTGCCTCAGCCTCCCAAGTAGCTGAGATTACAGGTGTGTGCCACCACGCCTGGTTAATTTTTGTATTATTAGTAGAGAAGGGGTTTTACCATGTTGGCCAGGCTGGTCTCAAACTCCTGACCTCAGGTGATTTACCTGCCTCGGCCTCCCCAAGTGCTGGGATTGCGGGCGTGAGCCACCGTGCCTGGCTGAGAAAACTGAGTCATATAAAATACTCAGTTAAAACCAGAGAAGGCAGAAAAAGAAGATAAAAAGAAGTGAAGATTAAAAAAAAGAATAAGGCCAGGCATGTGGTTCACGCCTGTAATCCCAGTACGTTGGGAGGCTGAGGTGGGTGGATCACCTGAGGTCAGGAGTTCAAAACCAGACTGGCCAACATGGCGAAACCCCTTCTCTACTAAAAAATACAAAAATTAGCTGGGCATGGTGGCAGGTACTCGTAATCCCAGCTACTGGGGAGGCTGAGGCAGAAGAATCACTTGAACCCAGGAGGCAGAGGTTGCAGTGAGCTGAGATGGTGTGCCATTGCACCCCAGCCTGGACAACAGTGAGACTCCATCTCAGAGGAAAAGAAAAAAAAAAAAAAAAGAATAAATGCTAAAACATGGCAGATATTAATACAACTATATCAATCAACTTTAAATGTGAAAGCTCTGAATATACCAATTAAATACAAAGACTGACAAAATGGATAAAAAAGCAAAATGTTTTTAAGAAATGGGTTTATGTGGCCGAGCGCCATGGCTCATGCCTGTAATCCCAGCACTTTGGGAGGCCGAGGCGGGTGAATCACCTGAGGTCAGGAGATTGAGACCGTCCTGGCCAACACGGTGAAACCCTGTCTCTACTAAAATACAAAATATTAGCCGGGTGTGGTGGTGTGCACCTATAGTCCCAGCTACTCGGGAGGCTGAGGCAGGGGAATCGCTTGAACCCAGGAGGCAGAGGTTGCAGTAAGCCAAGATCGTACCATTGCACTCCAGCCTGGCGACAAAGTAAGACTCCGTCTCAAAAAAAAAAAAAAAAAAAGAAAAAACAAATGGGTTTATGTTTTTTAAAATTTAATTTTAACTACAAAAGACAAGGACAGATTAATAGTAGATGCACACAGTGGCTCATGCCTATAGTCCTAGCTACTTGGTAGGCTGAGGCAGGAGGATCGCTTGAGTCCAGGGGCTTGAGAGCAGCCTGGGCAAAATAATGAGACCCTATCTCTAAGAGTAAAAAATAAGTAAATAAATAAATACAAGAAAAGGGGTGATTCTAACTATATGACAACCTGGAACAGGCAAAACTATGGAGACAATAAAAAGATCAGTGGTTTCCAGGGGTTGGGGAGAAGGAGTATCTATATGAAGCACAGGATTTTTAAGGCATTGAAACTATTCTGACTGGGTGTGGTGGCTCTTGCCTGTAATCCCTGCACTTTGGGAGGTCAAGTTGGGCAGATCACTTGAGGTCAGGAGTTCGAGACTGGCCTGGCCAACATGGTGAGACCCCATCTCTACTAAAAATGTAAAAATTAGCCAGGTGTGGTGGCGCACGCATGTAATCCCAGCTACTCAGGAGGCTGAGGTAGGATAATCGCTTGAACCTGGGAGGCGGAGGTTGCAATGAGCCAAGATGTGACTGTGCCACCACACCCAGCCTGGGCAACACAGCGAGACTCTGTCTCAAAAGAAACCAAAAAACTATTCTGTAAGATATGATAATGATACATATATGTCATTATACATTGGTTAAACCCATACAATGTACAACATCGAGAGTAGACCCAAATGTAAACTATGGACTTTGGGTGATGATGTGCCCCATTCTGGTGGGGGATGCTGACAGTGGGGGATGCTATGGGTGTGTTGGGCGGGGGGCATATGGGAACTCTTTGTATTTCCTGTTCAATTTAGCTGTGAACATAAACTGTTCTAACAAATAAAGTCTATTTAAAAAAAAAAAAAAAAAGCAGGGACTGGAGAAAGACATGCCATAACACTAATCAAAAAAAGCTGATGTAGTTACATAACATAAGCAAAGCAGGCATCAGAGCCAGTAAAGTTATCAAGGATAAAGAGGGACATTACACAGTGATAAAGATGAAGGAGAACAATTCTGAATAAGTACAGAAGCACACCTCGTGTTACTGTGCTTTACTTCATTGTGCTTCACAGAGACTACGTTTTTTTTACAAGTTGAAGGTTTGTGGCAACCCTGCATCAAGCAAGTCTATTGGTGCCATTTCCCCAACAGCCGGTGCTCATTTCATGTCTCTGTGTCACATTTTGACAATTCTCACAATATTTCAAACATTTTCATTCTTACTGGATCGGTTTTGGTGATCTGCCATTAGTGATCTTTCATGTTAGTTTTGTAATTGTTTTGGGGCACTGTGAACCACATCCATGTAAGATGGTGAACTTAATCAATAAATGGCATTTATGTTCTGATTGCTCCACCAACTGGTTGTTCCCCTGTCTCCCTTCCTCTCCCCAGGCCTCCCTATTATCTGAGACACAACAATATTGAAATTAGGCCAGTCTATAACCCTACAATGGCCTCTAAGTAAGTGTTAAACCAAAAGCTAAAAATGATTAAGCTTAAAGAGGAAGGCACATTGAAAGCTGAGACAGGCCAAAAGCTATACCTTTTGCACCAGTTAGCCACGGTGTGAATGCAATGGAAAAGTTCTTAAAGGAAGTTAAAAGTGCTACTCCATTGAACACATGTTTGAAAATAAAACAAAACACCCTTATTGCTAATATGGAGAACGTTTTAGTACTCTGGATAGAAGATCAAACCAGCCATAACACTCCTTAAGCCACAGCCTAAGCTAGCAGAGGTTGGCTCATGAGGTTTAAGGAAAGAAATGGCAAGGTGAAGCAGCAAGTGCTAATGTACAAGTTGCAGCAAGGTATTAGAACATCTAGCTAAGATCATGGATGAAGGTGGTAACACTAAACAACAGATTGTCAGTGTAGGTAAAACAGCCTTCTATTGGAAGAAGATGTCATCTGGGACTTTCCTAGCTAGAGAAGGGAAGTCAATGCCTGGCTTCAAAGTTTCAGAAGACAGGCTGGTTATCTTATTAGGGATGAATGCAGCTGGTGATTTTAAGTGGAAGCCAATACTCATTAACTATTCCAAAAATCCTAGGGCCCTTAAGAATTATGCTAAATCTATAAATGCAACAAGAAAGCCTAGATGACAGCACATCTGTTTAGAGCATGGTTTACTGAATATTTTAAGCCCAATGTTGACACCTACTGCTCAGAAAAAAAGATTCCTTTCAAAAGATTCCTGCTCACTGGCAATGCACTTGGTCAACCAAGAGCTCTGACAGAGATAAATGTTATTTTCTTTTTTTTTTTTTTTTTTTTGAGACGGAGTCTCGCTCTGTCACCCAGGCTGGAGTGCAGTGGCCGGATCTCAGCTCACTGCAAGCTCCACCTCCCGGGTTCACGCCATTCTCCGGCCTCAGCCTCCCGAGTAGCTGGGACTACAGGCGCCCGCCACCTCGCCCGGCTAAGTTTTCATATTTTTTAGTAGAGACGGGGTTTCACCGTGTCAGCCAGGATGGTCTCGATCTCCTGACCTCGTGATCCGCCCGTCTCGGCCTCCCAAAGTGCTGGGATTACAGGCTTGAGCCACCGCGCCCGGCCGATAAATGTTATTTTCATACCGACTAACACAACACACATTCTGCAGCCCATGAACAAGGGGCATTTTCATCTTTCAACTTTCATTACTTAAGAGGTACATTTTTGCCTGTAGTCCCAGCTACCTGGAGGCTGAGGCAGGAGGATTGTTTAAGTCCAGAAGTTCTGAGCTATAGTGCGCTATGTCAATTGGGTGTCCACACTAAGTTTAGCATCAGTATAGTGACCTTCTGAGAGCAAGAGACCACCAGGTTGCCTAAGGAGAGGTGAACTGCCCAGACTGGAAACAGCAGGTCAAAACTCTTGTGTTGATAAGTAGTGGTACTATGCCTCTGAATAACACTGCACTCCAGCCTGGGCAACATAGCAAGACACTATCTCTTAAATTAAATAATAATTAAAAAAAAAACATTTTGTGGGTCAGGCGCGGTGGCTCACGCCTGTAATCCCAGCATTTTGGGAGGCCGAGGCGGGCAGATCACGAGGTCAGGAGATTGAGACAATCCTGGATAACATGGTGAAACCCCGTCTCTACTGAAAATATAAAAAATTAGCCGGGCATGGTGGCGGGCACCTGTAGTCCCAGCTACTCGGGAGGCTGAGGCAGGAGAATGGCATGAA